CTTAGGCGGGATTGTTGCACAATCACAATGGCACAGTTACAGCTCCTTGCCATCCCCACCTACGCTGACCTTGGGCATCGTAACACACCACGGGGCCTTATCATATGCATGGGCTTCGAAAGGCTGTTGTTGACGATTCGGAATAATGGGGATTGGTACGATGACATAAGGTAGATACCAAGATGTTTCAAGCACAGGTTCTGCTCACCACCAATGTGGGTGTCTAATCCCTGAGGGTGATGTAAGCAATACCAACAAGGCGATTTGTTACCTAGCTGCAGCACCAATAGCGCACGCAGCCAGGTGGCACCACGGTCCTCCCAAGGCTCCCCACTGCTGGACAGCAACAGCCCCAGCACTGCCAGCCAGGCAGGACTGGGGCCCTCCTTGGCTCCCTGGTACCCAAGAGCAGCAGCTCCAGCACCCTCAGACTGACAGGAGTGGGGACGCCCCGCAGCTCCATAGTGCCTGAGAGCAGCGGCGGCTCCAGCCACCCTGGGCCAGAGCAGAGGACAACCCGATCACGATTACAATATCCAGCCCCGAATCCTTCCAGCCAGCCCAGGACACGCCACAGAACCAGGCACATGCTAGCCCCAAGCACTGGCCCTAATCCGCAGCCCCCAAGTCCAATACAGTTCCGAGCCAACCACCCCTGCTGCCCTCGCCCATCTTCCTCCAGGCTGATTGCTTTGCAGGGGAGCCCAGGGCAGCAGGGACAAGCACTCTGGACATGCTCTGTCCCAGTGGCACACGTGGGTGATCACAGCACTGCAGCACTGGAGAGGAGGTTGGGGTCATTGGGCAGGTGGGACAGGTGAGAGCAGGGCTGGCAGCTGGCTTTGGGCTCTTGTGTGGCCTTGCCGTTAGCACAAGGACTTGGCTTGGGCTTATCTGGGTTGTTCAGGCCAGGCTCGTGAGCCTGCAAGAAAGGGAGAAGTTTAACGGCAGCGTCCTCCCCAGCAGGTTTGGGTCTAGGCGTCTGCCTGTCTTATGTCTGCTCTGGTACCGGTGCCTGTGAAGAATGACGTCGCGAGGTGCTGGGCCTGCTCTCTCGAGGAAGAACTACAGGCTGAGCAATGAGCCGGAGAAGTCCAAGGTCGCAGGTACGGGCTGGACGCGCCTCGCACAAGCAGGACCGCTGTGGAACGGGGCGAGCGCCCCTCGTCTCGCTTGAGATCGCCTGCCTGCCAGTGGCAGTGGCCGTGCTGAGAGAGGCGTGGTGGGGCAGAAAGCGAGCGAGTCCCTGAGCAGAGGTGAGATTTTGGGAGGGCAGAATGAGGGACTCCAGCAGAAACTCGTGTCGCGGTGCTGGAGGATGTGGTGCTGCCTGTCTTTGTCCCATCGGACTCTGGGAGTTCCCCTTGCAGGGCAGACGGCCTCTCGGGTTCTCGGATTAATGCTTTCCTCGGCAATGATGATACTGCCGGGCAGTCATTTGCTCTGGCATCGGCCACCCCAGCACAGTCCGGCTTGTGAGACCGCAAGGCTGGTATTTGAGGGCTGCGTGGCACCCACAGCTAAGGCAAGCTGCTTTCTGGGGCACCAGGGATTGTTTTGCACAAGGACAGCTACTGCGAGGCATCATACAGCCTTAAGGAGGCTGTGAGTTAGCCTAGGTGAGCTGTGCCTGCGAGCCTTTCTGTCCCCGCATCTTCTTCAGCACAGCTGAGAGATGGAGTAGCTACAGAGAATGTTCCAGGTACAAGCAGGACATCAGGAAGTGCAGGAGTGGTATTATGATTTTTATTTCCCTTGGGAATGAAACTGGGTCATCACACCCAGCTTCTGAAGGAACGTTATCTGTAAGTAGCAGAGCAGTGTTCCTGAGTACATAGTTTCACCCAAGTGCAGCCTCCCATTTGTATTGGAGAGCAGCTCAAACTGGAAGGAGCCCCTTGCTGCGGAGATGCGCTCCATAGTGCTGGTGTCTAGGGCTGTTAGTGAGGGCAGTGAGAAGGTAAATGGCTTCTTGAAGCTGTCTTCCCCCAAGCTGATCTGCAACCTGGAAGGTTGTTTTCTTGTAGTTATCAATGTTTTGCTTGTACCTGAAATGAATGGTTTGAGTGTACCTCCTGACTCCTTGAGCTTAACTTTTCTCTCCTTTTTCACAAGGGATAGTGAACAGCAGGCTGCTGGATGCACTCTGGACATGCTCCGTCCAGGTGGCACACATGGGTGATCAAAGCGCTGCTACTCTACTCTGTGCTGGTGCAGCCTCACCTCAAGCACTGTGTGCAGTTCTGGGCACCACAGTACAAAAAGGACATGAAACTGTTGGAGAGTGTCCAGAGAAGGGCTACAAAGATGGTGAAGGTCCTAGAGGGGGAGACGTATGAGGAGCGGCTGAGGGCACTGGGCCTGTTCAGCCTGGAGAAGAGGAGGCTGAGGGGGGACCACATGGCGGCCTACAGCTTCCTCACAAGGGGAGTGGAGGGGCAGGCATCGATCTCTTCCCTTTAGCGACCAGTGATAGGACCCGAGGGAGTGGTGTCAAGCTGTGACAGGGGAGATTCAGGCTGGATATCAGGAAGAGGTTCTTCACTGAGAGGGTTGTCGTGCACTGGAACAGGCTCCCCAGGGACGTAGTCACTGTACCAAGCCTGTTGGACTTTAAGAAGCTTTTGGACTGTGCTCTTAGTAACAGCAACAGGTAATAGTAACAGGTAGTAGTCAGAGTAGCTTTGGGTGCAGGAGACGCAGAAGGGGCCTTTCCAGAAGACCATTTTTTTTTCCAATTTCTTATTATTCTTCCGGAAGGACTGTCGGTATGTACTCCCCCAGGGATATCTCCGGGTCCCCTGACACTCATATTTCCCATTTTTCCTAGCCCTTGTCAGTGTGCTGCTGCAGAAATTTACCCCCTGTAGGGTACCACACACCAATGTTCTGATTCTGGGAAATGGGGGTGTACTGCCAAGCACTTCACTGTGCAAGGGATACTGTACATCAGATCTCCTGCGACTAGTCCTTTCTCTCTCTTATCTCACACTTCGTCCATCTCCAGCAGTGCCCCGCATAGAGCTACAGAACCGTGGATCAGGTCTCCACAATCATACGTGTCAATCACATGTCACACAAGTCTCACCTGACCGCCAAGGCAATACTTAATATTTTTTGCCTTGGTCTGTGCACAGTTACCAGGCCTTATTCGTCCTTTCTTGCCATTCTTGTCTCTTATCTCACACTTTCTCCAACTGTGGCCCTTGCAGAGTATGGAACTCCTCTGTGCTGCGTGCTGCGGGACCTGGCATGGTGCTGGGTGCTACAGACTCACCCTGGTCTCACTTCTCCCTCAGGGTCAGTAGCACCTGAGATTGTGCTGAAAGATCGCACATGCATGTGTTGTCTTTATTCACCTCTGCCTTTCTCGAGGGGGGGTAACGTTATGGGCTACGACCACAGGGTTGTCTTCTCCCCAGGGTCTGTCAGCATCTTCCCTACAGCTCCCAGACTCTTGGCTATGCATTTCAGGCCTTGCTGTCCCTGGGAGACTGCTGTTGTCTGGCAGCCTCAAGGATGTGTGCCTTCAGCTGAGGAGCTCCGAGAGCTTTGCAGCTGCCTTTGAATGCATGAAGTCTCTCACACGGCTGCGAGAGGGCACCTGCACAGGGCCCTGGCCTCTCAGGGCTGGGTTCAGAGCCGCAGTCCCTCTCACTGGCACGCTCCCAGGGCTGGGGCTGGCAGCAGGCTCTGGCCTCGGTATACAGCGCTGGTGGGGGAGCACCGGGGGCAGCCTTCCTCGCTGCTCATCTTCTGGCCTTTCCCGTCTTTGACAGACTCCAGCACTCAAGCCAGTTCAAGCTGGTTAGTTACCTACGCGGAGGTAACTGCTGGAGGAGGAGCGGCCACCGGGCAGCAGCCACGGCGACCCGGGGGGAGGCTCCGCGGCTCCCCGCTGCCCCGGGCCGCTCCGCCCCTGAGGCGGAAGGGGAGCGGCGGTGCTGATGGCTGCGTGGCGCGGCGCCCTCGGCCTCGGCCTCCTCCTCCTCTGCCTGCTGCCGGTGCCCGGTGAGCGCGGGGCGGCGGCCGAGGGGGGGCCGTTGGCGGCCGGGCTCCCTGCACCCGCCGCCGGGCGCCGCTCGGAGCCGGCCGAGGAAAGGCTGCGGGGGGGGGACCGGGAGAAGGGCGAGGGAGGCAGCGTCCCGGGAGCGGCTTCCCCCTCAACCCCCAGCTTCGACGGAGCCTGTCGGCGGGCCGTGGTGGCGGGGATGTGCCGGGAAGCAGGGCGAGGAACGGGTGGAAGGGAAGGCCAGGGCCACGGCCGCGCCTTTGCGTCCCGTGAATACCCAGGGAAGCGCAGCGGGCTGAAGCACGCCATCCTCGGGCTTGCGTGGGGGCTGGAGGAGACCAAGGCGCGGGTTGAGGCTCTGCAGATGTCCGAGGCGGTGTCCGCAGGCACGTTTGCCTGGGTTATTCCTTCACACGTGTGTGAAAGCTTTAGAAAGTGTGTGAAAGAGCTCCTCGATGGAGGCCAGGTACTTTGCAGGTGTTCACCTTTGCTGGGCTCTGAAGGGTGTAACAGATCGGCAGACCCTAACACAAACGCTTGAAACATATTTAGGTGTTAACCTGGATGTCAGTACGAGAGAGAAACTTGATAGAGGAGTTATTTCTTTCATTAGTAACTCTTGGATTTTACCTCTTTTCAGCTTTAGGCGAGTACTGTCAAGCATATCTGGATCCCCATAGCAAGGTGCAACCTGCAAAATCCTGTCCCAGCTTCTGCTGTGGAGATTGCACGCGTCGATACTGCTGCTCAAATTCATTATTCAGATTTGATGAAGAACAGCAATTGATGTGTAATCTGCTTGATGGAAGGTATGAGGCAAATGGATTGTGTACAGTGGGTTCAAAGGACAAAAGCAAGCATCTTAATGGTAAAAACCTACAAAGGGACCTTTCAGCTCCATATAAGGCTCTGTCGGGGATCTACTTTAAGGCATGTAACTTACTTTTGAAGTGGGAGCAATGAGATAGACAAATTGGTGCATGAACTGGCATGTGTTTTCTTGAGTATTTTCAAACACTTCTACTGCTCTGTTTCACTTTTCTTTGAGGATGACAAAATTAATCTCATTCTCTTTTTAGTGTCCATTACCTTTCATAAGTACTTGGAACTTAGCCAGGTGCTAAATATGTCTTAAATTCCACTTTTTGAGATGTATTATCTTCTTACAGGACCTCTGACTTGGGCAACCTGAACTTGCTTTTGGACTCTGAAGATTTAAGTGATTATGGCCCAAGGTAAGACATGCGAAGCACCAGCTTTTTAAATGTTATTTATTTGGAGGTTCTATAAATGTTTTTCTATTTAGAGGTTCTTTATTGCATAGTCAGTCTGTGCTAGGAGAAAATGAAATCAGAAATATGGATTTGTGTGTTAAATATGTTGAACACTCAAACTTGCGTACACCTGAGACCATATGAAGAAACAGATAGGAAAGAGACTGGATCATGCCAATGATCCCCATATGCAAGTCCATGTTCATGTTGCTGAATGGGAGTTTGTCTTCTGAGGCATGGGCATGCTTACTCTGTCTTTCTAAGAATTGATGGATTAAGTCTCTAGTGGCTCTGTAAGAGGTGCTTTTGCTTGAAGCATCTCCTTACTTTTTAGCATCTTTTGCACTTAAGATTTTATCGATATTTCTTGTGCTATTCCGATCTCACATGAGATAAGTTACTTTCAGTATGTGCATTGTGTTGGTGGTTACAAGAGTCCTGCTGTAAAATGTTCCTGGTTCCCATTCTGTGGAATAATATAAAGGAAGAACAAGAGTTAATTATGAACTATTATGACCTATATCTGCATACATGTATATTCAAATAATTACAAACCTTTAGACTGCTAAATTTAATAATGAATGTTACCGAACTGCTCAGATAATATATTTTGATTTTAATTTTAAATTATATTTTGAATTTTCTTTTTAATTGACCTTGAGTATGTTTTCTTCTGAAAACACACCTTTATCAATTTCCCCTTGGCAGCATATATTTAAACAAGAAATGTGCTGTTCTTCACGAAACGATAAAAATAAAAAGTAAAACGTAGCTGTGCTGGCTGTTACATTAACAGGGTCCCAAATTTCCCCAGGGAACTGCAGTGTTTTGTTAGTGGTCTCCAGCGGCAGCTGGGTGAAGCTGCCGGGAGAACATCCTGGTGGTTCCCTCTGCCGTGAGGAACTGCTGCGGAACTGAAAAAGCAGGAAAAAAAAAAAAAAAAAACAAACATCATCTGTCGGTTTTGAGGCAGGGGTGTGAGCAGGTGGGTGCTCTGGACTTGAAGGCTGAAGGAACCGACAGAGATCCCGGTCACTTCTGGCGCTGCCAGAGCCGCCCCCTGTGGCTTAGCAGCCGCGGAATCCGTACAGAGCCCCGGTGTTCTTCCATCAAGCAAAGATGTGGATTTGAAGCTATTCTAAAAATTGTTCTGTGCTTTGTACTAGCCTGAAAAGTAAATATAAGCCTTTCATGATTTGTGTAATGGTAACTTGCATTATAGGGCACTCGTTTTTGTCTCCATTGCTGACAGAGCAGTGTTGTGAGCTGCTGTTAATGATTCTTCAGCTTCCAGCTTCAGGCAGGGGGCTTAAATGCTTGTGTAAGTTTGTATGCTCTGAACCAAGAGGGGAAGAGATTGAGAATGCTGCTCCAAGGTTGGGTTTAGCAGCCTGCTCTTCTAACTACAGAAGGCCATTTCAGGGCAAAAAGCAAGATACTGTGTCTTTGCACGTTTAGGCCAGGTAGAGATTCATCACGTGGTTTAGGTTTAGTGGTTCGTTTTTTCTGTAGGTGTGTCCTTTGTTTCTGTACGTACTTACTAGGGTAGGGGTGTTTCTACTATTCTGTGGGCTTTGCTGTGCCCACAAATAGAAGTCTGAAAAAAGTACATGTTTTGTGCACGGGTTGACTCTGAGCAAACCTGTGAAAGCACCCACAGGTAAGATAGTCCTCAGATAAGGGTCCTACAGCCCAGAAGATGGAGAATCCTTGCTTCAAAACATGGTTCAGAGACAATGCTTGTTACTCAGTTGGATCTTTGAGCACGTGGGTTCCAAAGCTAGATCCAGCTCTGCTGCATCGTGTACTTCCATGCAGCAGCTATGGCCTGAGGGGTAGCCAGGTGTATTTGTGATAAATTGTGTTAGAAATGTCATGAGGGAAGAGGGAAATGACTTTGAATTGCATAGTCTTTTGTAACTGTGCTTGTGCGTTCTGTGGAACGAACAAATCAGTTGAATTTTAGGAAATTAATACTTGCGCCAACACTGGTCTTTTAGCAAAACCTATTTTTTATTAAAAACATTTTATACCATTCATTTTAACGTGGTATTCACTAGTTCACTGTGTTCGCTAGTGTGACCTCTGCTTCTCAATTCCACTGAAAGGTCAGCTTAAAAAGTTTTTTTTTTTTTTAATTTATTATTATTTATTTATTTTAGTTATGGAAGGTGCCAATCATCTAAGCCACTTGTGACTTCTTATGACAGTCTTGTTAATGGTGATACCATTAAAAGAGAAGTATTGGTCAGCAAGATGTGAACTCTTCTGCAGAGGTCTGCTCTTACTTGAGGCAGTGTGAGATTTTCTTGTTTTTTGTCACAGCGGATGACGTGCTTTTCCTGGTGAGAGGAACAGTGAGAAAGCACGTCGGTTTGTAATGGTGTAGGATAGTTCATTTCCCTAATTGAAATTTTGCTCCTGTCTGAGCACTCAGTTTCTGACTTCTGTAGGTGTGATGACCTATGGCTAGTGTATGGAAGAGCTGCGCTATATGGCAAGCAGAGCTGGTGGGTGTAGCCTAGCTTGAACTTCCTTTGATTGCAGTTTCAGAGTGTTTGGGAAGTCATATCCCCAGGCTGAATTTGCTCGAATTGTTTATGTTTTACACTTTATCTCTCCTGCCAAGTCAGTTTCTAGTTAGTTGCTTAAATATGAGGACTTTTAGAACTGCTTTCTAGAATGAATATTGGTGGTGATGTATGCATAGTATTGCAGTTGTTTATTGCAGGGAAAACTTTCTGCAATACTTAGTGATTCAGTTGGACTTGTTCTGTTCATTTGGTTGACCATTTTGGAAAAATCCCTCTCATTGCCTTTGTCTTGGTTTCAAATTTTTATTGGCATGGGGGAAATGACATTCGATACTGTTCAAATGGGATCCTAGCAATAGAATGGGAGCTGACTCGTTTGTTTGCCTTATCTGTCTGTGCATATAATCGGTGTACATTCTCTTTTTGCTGCTAAAGGAGCATGCTAAATCCGTTTATTGTCTGTAGAAGTGAGTGTTTTCATAGGGCTTAAGAACTGTTTTCATGCTTGGGACTTTCTGAAATTGTCCTGTGACCTGTGTGAAGTTAATGTTAATTCTTGTGCTGTTGATGAAGGACTTCTGAATGCAGCTTGGACGTTTCCCCTCTTCATTACATGCATTTTTAATGTCAGTTACTCGCAGCAATTACTCTGAGCTGTCTACAAAGTGGACGTTTCCTGGGAAGCATCCCCAATAAATTGTATTTTTAGTACGTGCTATAAAAGAACATATGTAACTGGGTATATTTAGTACAAGAGAACTGCTTAGAGGCCAAGAAGAGATGCTTGTGTACGTTTTCTCTTAGAAGCCGTAGGATCTGAGTGTCAGATCTCTGAGTAAATCAAAAGCTCTAGGAAGTTCCCTCCCTGCCACTTTCTCATATAGGCTGTTTAAGAACACGTTGTGCAAAACTATTATATGTTACTTGAAAATATTGTGAAATTAATGTCTTCCAAAATAGTAATTAACTTTGGTTACGGTTGGTCTTTGTGAAATTAAGGTGTGTTATTTTAGGCTTAAAGCTGTAAAAGTAACCCACGCCAGCTTCCTATTTGAACAAACAGAAAAAGGACCCATTCAGGATGTATTTAGCCAACTTTCCCTCACAAAGGCTGTGGCATTCTTTTTTTCTGTAATTCTTTGCAGTTGCAAGGGTTCGTGGCTTGCCACGGCCTTATCCTTCTTGCTTAGGGTTGCTCCTGACTGCAGAGCTGACTCGGCTGGTGCTAAGGGTCCCTGGGCTGCAAAAGTTTGTCCTAACGCTGGAGGACTTTGCTCACGGTTGTTCTGGCTGCAGTAAGCTGAGGTGTTACGAGGATTGCTTCTGGGGGCTCCTGGTGCAAATTTGCCTTCTTTTGAGGGTACCTAGAAAGAACTGGGGAAAGTTGTGGGAAATATTAGTGGGTTTTCGGAGGAGTTAATTCATGTCTGTGCTAGAGCAGCGCTTAGCGATTGTTTGGGCTGATACTCTAGTGGTGGGTTAGCCAAGTGAAATGAAAACATTACCTTCGCGTGAAGGAAGTGTATGTGGGCCAGACCCCAGGAGGAACACTCACAAGTGTAATTTGAGTACCAGCTATCTGAAAGGCCACTGCAGAGAGTTTCCAGTTAAGCAAGGTGCACTTCAGGACATTGCATAGCATAGAAAATGACATAGCAGTTACTCAAACCTACCACTGTGCCAAAAGTACCAACGTTTCATAGTTCTGAAACCATGCTATTCACTCTGAGTCTCAAGCTGACCCACAGGCTGGCTGGTCTACCGAGTGTTAATGCCATGCTAATGTTTTGCTGTGAATATTAACCCCACAGGAGTTTGCTGTCTATGGAAATGTTTTTTTGAGTCTCTAGAAAAGTGGTTCTTATGTCTCGAATCTTCATGCTAAATACTAGACAAGTATGTGCTTGTGAAGTTGTAAAATATAACCCCTCTGGAATAGCCCCTGGGAGGTCATATTGGTTGTTCTTAAAAAGTTTGTCTTTAATTTTTATACTTAATGTTAGAGGCAGTATATGGCATTGTGTGGCCGCGACTAAAATATTGGGCGTAAGAGAGCGTCTCCATACAGAGACTTGTTTGGTTTTGTCCTGTACCAGAGTTGGGGCAAGTCCGGGCATTTACCATTCTGTCATGCTTCTGGGAACAGTATCCTCTTCTGGAGCTGGAAAGAATGCCATGTAGATACTTAATTTTTTTTTTTTTTTGACTTCTTGGAATGGCCTAAATTACCTTCTGAGGTCGTTCCAGACCACCCTGCTTTACAGCTGTAACTCAGTATTTGTAAATGTTTGCTTTTGAAACCAACCATGTATCTTTGAAATGAACCCTGCCAACATGTTTTCTTGTAGCATGGAACAAATCTTGGAATAGAGTAAAACTTGTGGAATAAAATAGGCTGCTTAAAGTAATTTTTCAAAACCAGGTGGTCTTGTTCTTTTGGGCATTGTATTGTTTTTCTTCTTTTTTTAAAGACAGAAGTTGTAGTGTGTGCCACTGTCATGAACACATAGATATGCACAAACTTCTTTTACAGTAGAGCTTATAAAATGTCACAAACTAGGTGATACAAACTACTAAGGAGGTTTAAAAACTTGAATATTTTCAAAAGCTTTAGGTACGTGCAGAACATTTCACATCTTTTTTCCAGTTAGTGTTTAAAGTTGAGATCTCCGTGCAGAAAAACAACCGCCTTAAGAATTAACATTTACAAATAGTACCTCTAGATCTTGGGTTTGGTTTTACCTTTTTAACGTCACTTGCATCTCATTCAGCACCAGAAGACTAAAACAGGCACTAATCATACATCTCCCTTTATGTAAACTCGTATACGGCTTGGATTATTAGCACACTTCAAAGGTAAGATGAGTCTGCAAGGTACACTCAGTGCATACGCAATTCAGAACTTTCCAACTGTACTTGTAAGAGAAGACGAGTAGAAGTGGAGTAGGTTGAGCAAGAGAGTGCAGAGATAGGAAGGGGCAGGGAGTCCTCTCCAGATTGACTTCATGTGGATTTTGAGAAGTTGCAGTTCATCACTGTCATGGTAAAGCTGCTAGTGGGTTTGTGTTTTGTTTTCAGTTAAGTTATTGGCAAAAGTTAGCTTTTATGATGTGAGGAGAAAAAAGCAGGAAGTGTCAGTGACTGAGCTCAGGCTGTTTGTAAGTGTGTGGTTTATTTAGGGGCTATGGTATATAATGTAGGAGTCTGAAAAGCTGTGTGCAGACTGTGACGCCTGCACAGCGTTCCGATCTCGGGCTGTGGCCACCCCGCTTTCTGCACCATGATGTTTGTTCACAGAGTTCATGAGGTAAGGTGTATTTTTGGTTTGGTTTTTGTTTGTTTGGGGATTTGTGTTTGGTTAACTATCCAGGAAGAATCTTTAAGCTACAGTCCTTTGTTTATTCATTTTCATGTATGTGTAATGCAGACTAACAATTGGTAAATAAAATAATATTTAATGCAAATATATATTTTTCCAAATATGTTGAGTCCTTTCAGACGAGTTCATCACGTGAAAGCAACTAAATAAAGCAATGGTTTCTGTTAAGAAAGGCTTTCTGGAGCTAATACACCACAGGAGTCTTTATACATTATGTGGGATATCTTACCTGCTAGAGCTTAGACAGTTCACTGAGTAAAGTGAATGGTGAGCACCATTCTAGCCTTACTTGAGTATGACCTACAATTTCTAGTAGCCTTCCTGAGCTCTTTTCAGCCTTACTAGTGGGAGTCTCAGGGGGCTGTAATCATTCCTTCCTGTGTGTCAGTGTCACTGAATATCCAGGAGGAAGTGCTCAGGGCAGTACTCCTTTGGTGGTAAAAGGGTGCTTGCAAGTTCATATGGTTTTGCTTTCCATAAATGTCATGGTACCTTGTGCTGTTTCAAAAAGTTAGTCTCCATGAACCCAAGAACGGGCAGGAAAGTCATGCTGCTGCTTTAGAGCGGACGATAAAAATGCCTGTGGCAATCCAGTTGTGTGCAGTCCTGAGAAAGCTTTGTGAAGAACTGACTCATGTCTGTTGTTTCGCTCACTGGGCTGTTTCTGAAGGCTTATAATTTTGGTTTGCAGTAATCACACAGGATTTCAATACGTAGAACTGAACCACAGTGTTTACACATCCAAACACAGAACCACCCTCTGGAGCGGGTGCACCTGGCACTCCTCCATTACAAATGTCTCCATTCAGTTCTTTAAAAGATGCATGAAAAAGCGGTCATCTTGTTTTAGCAAACATGCAGACAAATGATGAAAATAAAAATCACAGAGTGGTTTGGGTTGGAAAGGACCCCAAAGCCCACCCAGTCCCAACCCCTGCCATGGCAGGGCCCCGTGCCCCCAGCCCCATCCAGCCTGGCCTTGGGCACTGCCAGGGATGGGGCAGCCACAGCTCCTCTGGGCAGCCCAGGCCTGGGCCTCACCGCCCTCTGGGGAAAGAATTTCTTCCTTATATCTCATCTAAATCTACCCTCTTTTAATTTAAAGCCATTACCCCATGCCCTATCATTATACCACCTGACAGGGTCCCTCCCCAGATGTCCTGTAGCCCCTTTAGGCGCCGGCAGGCCGCTGTGAGATCTCCCCAGGGCCTTCTCTCCTCCAGACAGATCAACCCCAGCTCCCTCAGCCTGTCACCTACAGCCTCTGAGCATCTTTGTGGCTTCCTCAAGACTCGCACTAATAGTTTCATGTCCTTCTTGTGCAGGGGGCCCCAAGCTGAAGGCAGGCTCCAGGTGGGGTCTCACAAGTTCCCCTCCTTCACCCTGCTGCCCGCGGTGCACCCCAGGGTGCCGCAGGCTTTCTGGCTGCAAGCACACATCACTGGCTCATACGCAGGGTGTTTCTAAGAACTTGGTGATATGGATATGGTGGTTTGTGTTGTTTGTTTGTTTGTTTTTTACCCTAAGCTTTGTTATCATCACATTCCTTACTGGAGATAGTAAACAGGCAACGAGAATTTCTTCTGTGAGAAGAAAAGTTTATGACAGTTAAGCAAAAGGAGCTTGTGCTTCAGACTGACCAGTGTTTATCTGTCGGTGGCCAGCTGGGCTGCAGACAGGCTGGTACTGTCCTCTTTTTGTCATAACAGAACTGACTTTGGTCCTGAAAGGTGAGGGCTCTGCCAGTTTCCTGCTGTGCTTTTTTTATTTGTGATGAGCAGACACATCTCCCCTCTGTTCTCTCAATTTCTTAGGTTTGTTTGAATTTTGCCCAGGCTTTGGTAAAGTCCAGCAAGGTTCATTGGCTGCAGAAGTGAAGAATTTTGTTATTCTTTGTCAGGCCTCCTAATCTCTTTCCTTGACACAGGAAGAACCTGTAAGACTTTTTTGTCTGTACTAATGTTGCTCAGTAATAACTACCTGAGTATAATGGAAGTGTTAACTTCCCTGCTAAGAAAGCTTTCCATCTGCTTGATGGAAGGTATGAGGCAAATGGATTGTGTACAGTGGGTTCAAAGGACAAAAGCAAGCATCTTAATTGGTAAAAACCTACAAAGGGACCTTTCAGCTCCATATAAGGCTCTGTCGGGGATCTACTTTAAGGCATGTAACTTACTTTTGAAGTGGGAGCAATGAGATAGACAAATTGGTGCATGAACTGGCATGTGTTTTCTTGAGTATTTTCAAACACTTCTACTGCTCTGTTTCACTTTTCTTTGAGGATGACAAAATTAATCTCATTCTCTTTTTAGTGTCCATTACCTTTCATAAGTACTTGGAACTTAGCCAGGTGCTAAATATGTCTTAAATTCCACTTTTTGAGATGTATTATCTTCTTACAGGACCTCTGACTTGGGCAACCTGAACTTGCTTTTGGACTCTGAAGATTTAAGTGATTATGGCCCAAGGTAAGACATGCGAAGCACCAGCTTTTTAAATGTTATTTATCTGGAGGTTCTATAAATGTTTTTCTATTTAGAGGTTCTTTATTGCATAGTCAGTCTGTGCTAGGAGAAAATGAAATCAGAAATATGGATTTGTGTGTTAAATATGTTGAACACTCAAACTTGCGTACACCTGAGACCATATGAAGAAACAGATAGGAAAGAGACTGGATCATGCCAATGATCCCCATATGCAAGTCCATGTTCATGTTGCTGAATGGGAGTTTGTCTTCTGAGGCATGGGCATGCTTACTCTGTCTTTCTAAGAATTGATGGATTAAGTCTCTAGTGGCTCTGTAAGAGGTGCTTTTGCTTGAAGCATCTCCTTACTTTTTAGCATCTTTTGCACTTAAGATTTTATCGATATTTCTTGTGCTATTCCGATCTCACATGAGATAAGTTACTTTCAGTATGTGCATTGTGTTGGTGGTTACAAGAGTCCTGCTGTAAAATGTTCCTGGTTCCCATTCTGTGGAATAATATAAAGGAAGAACAAGAGTTAATTATGAACTATTATGACCTATATCTGCATACATGTATATTCAAATAATTACAAACCTTTAGACTGCTAAATTTAATAATGAATGTTACCGAACTGCTCAGATAATATATTTTGATTTTAATTTTAAATTATATTTTGAATTTTCTTTTTAATTGACCTTGAGTATGTTTTCTTCTGAAAACACACCTTTATCAATTTCCCCTTGGCAGCATATATTTAAACAAGAAATGTGCTGTTCTTCACGAAACGATAAAAATAAAAAGTAAAACGTAGCTGTGCTGGCTGTTACATTAACAGGGTCCCAAATTTCCCCAGGGAACTGCAGTGTTTTGTTAGTGGTCTCCAGCAGCAGCTGGGTGAAGCTGCCGGGAGAACATCCTGGTGGTTCCCTCTGCCGTGAGGAACTGCTGCGGAACTGAAAAAGCAGGAAAAAAAAAAAAAAAAAACAAACATCATCTGTCGGTTTTGAGGCAGGGGTGTGAGCAGGTGGGTGCTCTGGACTTGAAGGCTGAAGGAACCGACAGAGATCCCGGTCACTTCTGGCGCTGCCAGAGCCGCCCCCTGTGGCTTAGCAGCCGAGGAATCCGTACAGAGCCCCGGTGCTCGCTTTACGTTAAAAAAGAAAAGAAACGGGTTAAGAAAAAAAACAAAACAAAACAAAAAAACACCGAGGCAGAGCCTGAGGTGGTGCCGCGTCCCCTTGAGGCGGGGCCAGCGCCGTGACGGGAGGGGCGGGGCCGGGCCGGGCCGGGCGCGGGTCGGGCGGCGGCGGCGGCGGCGAGCATGGGGTAAGGGGCGGCGGGGCCGGGCTGGGCGAGCTCCGTGCCCGGCAGGACAGAGGGGAGAGGGCTGGGTGGGGGGCTGGGGGGCCCGGGGAGAGGGTGGGAGGGGTGCTGGGGCTGGTGGCGCATCCCTCAGGGCTGCGGGAGCCCCGGCTTGCAGCCGCTGCTATCCCGACGCGTTTTTAGGGGAAAGATGAGGAGAAAAAAAAAAAATCCGAATTCCCGATTCTGAGCGCCAGCGTTGGGCCTGCGGAGGCGTTGAATGTGTTTGAGGATGAAAGGAGAAATGTGAGGATGCTAAGAAATGCGGTTTGTCTTTTTTTTTTTTTTTTTCCGTGCTAACGAGCATAGCTAGTGCACAGCACGGAAAGAAAAAATAATTGAAAAAAGCCCAAATCTATGCCGAGCCCACGCGGTTACTTAAGGAACTGGAACCGAGGGCCTCAGTCCACAGAGGTGCATCCTTAAATGAGGGAAAATGCTCAGTGTGTAGGAGCTAAGCTGCTTTAACTATTTCTGTCTCAGCCCTGGCGTGCCCCAGAAGCCGTCTCACCGCCAGGCGTTCTCTCAAGCTTCTTTCGGTTGCGTTACAGCTTTGGAAACTCAGCGTGGTGTGCAAGCACCTGGGCTTAACGTCAGGCTTGTTTTCCTGTTAGGCATTTTTAAGTAACAAAAAAATTACAGTTGATAATTTTTTCTTACAATTCTAAAAAAAAAATAGTTATGCACAGAAACACTGCTTTTGAAAAGCTATCTGAACGCAAGTCCAGAGGAAAACTGCTTCCTAAAACTTTCCAAAGAGAACGATGACCTTGAATGTTTGATTTAGGATGTTTCAACATCGGAAACGAAAATGAACAGGCCTTCAGTTACTCTTCCTGCCATCACTGGGGCACCGAGTCACTCGTAGGTTACCCTCCTGTTACAGGCTGCCTGGTAACAGAGGTGTTTTTTTTTTTTCTCTTAAACAAGCAGTAAGGTTTTTTCCTTCAAGAAGAGCTCTCATTTCTGCCTGCAAGGTATGCTCCACCCTTTTGTGCCATGCCAGTTTCCCTTAAAAGACAAGTTTCACATTGCTTCTCGATGACAATGTTTATTTAAGACTTGTCTGTGTGGCTGATGTCAGTTCAGATATATTTTTTTGTATGCTCAGCAAGATGAACACGGTTGTTGAACGGTCTCCTTGAATGGTTTATAACAGGAGTAGAGACAATAAACAGCACCTTCCTTTAGTGTCCTACGCAAATACTACCTTTGATGCTGCCCTTCAAAAAGGGGGGTGGGGTGGTTCCCAGACAGGCATTAAGGGTCAGAAAGCATTTAGTTCCTCATTCTTTCTCTGGCCTTATTCCTATATCAAATATCACTGCTCTGACTAATTGCTCACAAATCCTAGCTTTTTAAGAGACTTTCATATCTTGGAGGGCTTGTCACTAACTTTGTGGACTGGCCACTGGGCTGTGTGAGCTAGGGGGTCTCTTCTCCCTGCCTGGAAAACCTGCCATAATTATGGTGTGATTCTTTGGGACCACGCTAGGGAAGGGTTCGGATGGTGCTGCAGGCGCTCTTCCTGTGTCCTGTCCAGCTGAGCAGTTGGTAGTTTGCCTGCGCTCCTGCTTCTTTGCTGTATTTATTCTGAGGTCTTCAGCAGAAGTGCAAGTACCAGTTTTGAGTAGGTTTCTTTTTATTACTGTCCTTTAATACCAATTTCCTTCAGTATTTAACATTGTATATCGGGTGTTGTTGAGGCAGGGGTGCAAGGCACTTTGGGCACCTCCATGAAGTTCAAAATGCAGGCAGTTACTATCCTATAATCTCCTTTTGGTCTTTTTTTAAGACAATAAATGACATTCCTTTGGAGTGTCATAACCACATACTTTCAAGTACTCGAAAGTATCGTGCTTCCCAGAACACTGCATTTAGAAGAAAATTAAGCATTTTAAGTATACAAGTCGGCATTAACTCAGATTCACATGTTTTCTGTTGTTAGTTTATTCCTAAAGATTATTTGGAGCTTTTAAGTCACAGTGCAGGCATTGGTTTTATACGACTAAACTTGTTAAATTGCCACCATTCGCTACCATTCATCCTTACATGTGAGATGAATGTATGCAATTTATACAACTTCTGCTGTTGAAGAATACATTGAAGGTGTTTCACGTTCTTTTTCTTTGAATTGGATTAGCAAATTGATTTTTCCCCTGCTGTGTTCTGTTTTGGAAACTGATTGTGAGTAAGGTTGAGATCATTATCCTCTCTCATTCTACAGTACTCAGTATTCCTCCTTTAAGAAGCTGCAGAAGCAGAGCACTGGTTCACTGTAACCACAGTTGTCATGATTTGCATTGGTAACATGGTTTTTTAGCCTTGGTATGCCAATTCTCCAACAGTGACCCTTACTGGAAAAGGAAATTAGATGACTCACCCACAATTCAACTAATTGTGAAATATTTGCGTGCTTAAGGAGGTGGGGCAAAGCAGAGCATCTGCACCAGAGTTGCAGAGGAAAAATAATGTAGTTGGCAGAGCTGATAATCGGTCACTCTAAATTGAAAACAGAATTACCATTTCCAGTTAGTTGGTCTCCGTTTCTAAATTAATTTCTGCCTTGAAGTTATGTAACACGCTGCAATGCCTTGAGAAGAGCCTGCTCGTCCTGACGTGGTGGGAAGAGGGAGGCAGAACAACAGCCTTCCCGGGAGGTCTCAGCCAACAGAGGACAGCCTTGTTAGACTCGGGTTGTGTGTGTTCAGCCTTTGTCATGGGCTGATCCCTGTGTTGTCTTGAGACTTGGCTCCTCTGTGAAACGGAGAAATTCTGCCCACCCTTGTTTGAAAAGCAGTGTCTGCAGTGGTCTACTGTGTGTATAAGGGGGCAAAAACTATATGCTTCTAACTGTGGAGGATGTGATTATCCTAACTTGCTGTCTCAATTTAGATGTTTTTAAGCACATGCATCCTCCTTAGTCATGGTTAAAAATAGTGATGGTGAACTGTACCCTGTTCTCTTCCTCTTCCACTGTTGCTGTCAGGGACTTCAGTTCGTATTCTGTTGTGTATTTCGATGTTTCAGCATCTGTAATAGGCTTCCAATGATGAATTAAGAAATTATTTGGAAAATACAGTTTTATGCAAGCACTCTATTTAATATTCAGGGAATTTGTTTTCCAGTACTGATCCTAAGTATTTTATGTAACAAAAGAGTTAAACTGTGTACAGAGCCCTCTCTGTATGGCTTGCATTCAGACACAGGCATATCCCACCAAGAAATGTAAGCTGCTAGTCTAGGAACAATTCAGATGTGGATTTGAAGCTATTTTAAAAATTGTTCTGTGCTTTGTACTAGCCTGAAAAGTAAATATAGCCTTTCATGATTTGTGTAATGGTAACTTGCATTATAGGGCACTCGTTTTTTGTCTCCATTGCTGACAGAGCAGTTGTGAGCTGCTGTTAATGATTCTTCAGCTGCCAGCTTCAGGCAGGGGGCTTAAATGCTTGTGTAAGTTTGTATGCTCTGAAACCAAGAGGGGAAGAGATTGAGAAATGCTGCTCCAAGGTTGGGTTTAGCAGCCTGCTCTTCTAACTACAGAAGGCCATTTCAGGGCAAAAAGCAAGATACTGTGTCTTTGCACGTTTAGGCCAGGTAGAGATTCATCACGTGGGTTAGGTTTAGTGGTTCGT